ATTAAGAATTAGTCGATAATGGATAACAAGCGTGTTAAATATATTAATTATATTTTATTCATGGCTCCATCAACTATAAAAATTCATTACAATTACAATACCATTATCTAATATTCCTAAACTTGCCAAGTACATTGTAGTTTAATTTGATGATATATATTATTACTAGGGAAAATGGCACTTTTTCCCCCTAAGTTATATACTCATAGCACTTTTCTCCCCTGAATTATTTAAGTGGCTCTTTTCCCCCCTGAAATATTAAATGGACATATTTACCCTTAAAATAAATATTTAAAGTAAATATTTCATTTATTTTTATTCTCCAACAAATTTATTACTATCATTTGGTTCAAACAAAACAGATACTATAGCAACCAAACCAAAATATTTCAATTACAATTTATAATCAAAACGCGATATTTAGAGTTTATTAAAATCGCAGACCGGAATGGACGGTTCATGTTCCGAACTAAAAAAATAAAATACATTTATTGTTGAATTTAGACTATTTTAAAATAAAAAAAATAAAATTTTAAAATAAAGACGGTTCAAAATCGCGAACTGGATCCGGAATCGCCGGTTCACGGTTCATGATCCAGTTTTTTTTTATTCTTAAATTTAATAAATTGAAATTCAAATATTGGGTTCTAGATCTAAATCATAACTGAAAACTTTTAATTCGATTGCTATAGTGTTTGGTTCAGTTCGAACCGAACCGTGGTAATCGCTACATATACGCAATAATTTGTTAGAGAAGTAAAATAAATAAAATGTTTACTTTAAGGGTAGAAATGTCAATTTAATATATTAGGGGGAAAAACTGCCACTTTTAAAATAATTGAGGGGGCTAATGTGCTTACATAAATAATTGAGGGGGAAAAAGTGCTATAAGTATATAACTTAGGGGAAAAAATGTCATTTTCCCTTATTATTACCATTTCAAATAGAAAGTCAGAAGTTCGAGTTTCATCTCAATTTATGAGTAATCATATTAGTTAGAACAGTTATTATGAATATGTTAGATTATAGTTTAAAAAAAAAAAAAAAAAAAAAAAAAAAAAAAAAAAAAAAAACAATCCTAATCTTTCATTCATGTAGCACTCTATTCGCTACATTGAAATTTGAAATGACGTCTTTTCGGATAAGGATTCGTCCTATGAAACCTATCATGTTACATGGTATAACAATTATTATAAGAGTTAATTCCATTTTTGGTCCTAGATTTATAGGTGACAGCACACTTTTAATCTTTTTTTTTTTAATCAGAACATCTCATTTTGGTCCTTAGTATTATTGTGACATGACCAAATTTGGTCCTCTATCAACAAAATCGTTAAAATTTCGTTAAATACAATAACATTTTGGTCTTTTTAATACAAATTAAAGTGTGTTGACTCATTATATATTTTATGTTTATTTTTTGAAAAAATTCATAAGAGTGAAATGCTCTTGTATTTAACGAAATTTCAATGATTTTTCTTTATAGAGGACCAAAATTAGTCATGTCACAATAATACTAGGACCAAAAAAATATATTCGTATAAAAAAGGACTAAAAATGGACCGCCACCTATAAATCTATAACCAAAAATGAAATTAAATCATTATTATAAAGATAGGTTGGTATGAAATTTCAGTGGCACAACATAAGGGTGGCTTAAACAAGCATGCCTAACTTAGCTTGCCATATTTAAAAACAAAAAATAATAATAACAAAAACAAAAACAAAAACAAAGCAAAGTCTATAGTCACATGTATGGTATAAAATATACAGGCCGGATCTATATAGTATTACTATACCAAGTCTATAGTCACATGAAAACGAATCTAGACACCCTAATGGCAAAATAAAGAAAAGAAAGGCAAAATATATTTGCAAACTAAAAATAAACTAATGGGTCTTCATATATTCCTCCCACTTCTTAGCTTTAAAAATTTTAATGTGCATGGTTTTTTTTTTTTTTTTTTTTTTTTTTAATATAGAACTAATATCTTCCATGGTCTCCGAGTATTTGCAGTTTTATTAGTTATTATTCTAAACTTTTAAACTGACTTAAACAGGCAGATTTGCTCTCTATTTGAACGCCCCTACCTATCACAAATTAACTACAATCGTTATGCTATGGATCTGTGTCCAGCATGTATTGTGGACACACTAACGGTGTCGTTAGTGGCACCGTTATCTTTCACTTTAAAAAAAAAAAAAAAAAAATTCAGACCGCTTCGTTATAGGAGTATATGTTCATAATTTTATCACTATATGTTCATAATCGTAAGTTCATAATGTCAGCGTTCTGTGTTCATAGCTCCATAATTGTACATTCATACTTTCATAACTGTATATTCATAATTCCGTAACTGTACATTCATAATTCAATAACTGTAAATTCATAATTTTAGAAGCTCTATGTTCACAATTTTAGAGCTTTATGTTCATAATTTTATCACTATATGTTCATATTGTAAGTTCATAATGTCAGAGCTCTGTGTTCATAATTTCATAACTGTACATTCATAATTCTATAATTGTACATTCATAATTCCATAACTGTACATTCATAATTTTTGAAACTCTATGTTCACAATTTTAGAGCTCTATGTTCATAATTTTATCACTATATGTTCATAATTGTATATTCATAATGTCAGAGCTCTGTGTTCATAATTCCATAACTTACATTCATAATTTCATAATTGTACATTCATAATTCCATAACTGTACATTCATAACTCCATAACTTAGTTGTACATTCATAATGCCACAAACGAATAACGCCGTTAACAGCGAGACAAGATCAGATTTTTTTAAAACTAAAATGCCGTGTTTTTTCCTGAAAATGACATCTTTTTGGACTCGTGTCCACAGCATAATTTGCGAATTAACTAATCGTAGGCCACGAAATATCACTTCTTGAAACTCAGAGGGGGTTGGTTTACAAGTTTTATTTAGGACCACAACATGTAAAATCACAATATTCGGATGACTATTGAAGGTATTAATTCTTAATAAATATATATGTATATAAAATTATTATTTTTGATACATAAAGCAGTACGTGTTGGTTAATAATTAAAGTCATATTTGTAAATACATAAATTTACTATCACCACCATAGATTTATAAAGTTTTCACTGTAAGTTCATAAAATCACTATTACAAGTTCATAAAGTTACCATTACAAGTTTACGAAATCACTATTATAGGTACATTGAATGTCCATTTGCAAATACTCATAAAATATTTTATAGAAAATGATTCATTTTTAGTGTTTGGTTGAAAGTCAAAACACATTCTTCTTCTATTTGATTGAAAGTCAGAAAATTTTATTTTATTTTGTTCGATTCTTTTTTAAAAATATGAGCATAAATTTATCACAACGTTATTTCGTATAAAATATTATGTATTTTAATAATGATAATAATTATTAGTTATATTATACTAAAATTATAAATTAAAATAAATAATACTTATAAAGATAAAAAATAATTATAATAAAAAATATAAATTAATAATTTTAAACTTGTAACTTATTATTATAAATTGTGAGTTCCTAGTATGTACTTGGTGGAGCATGGTCCACACAGCTGTGTGAACCATAAATAAAAAGTACATTATTTTTGTACATAAAGTATATTATTTTGTATATTATCAAATAATATACATTCATTATACAAATAATGTACTTTTAATATATTAACAATGTACATTATATTTAGGGAAAGTACATTAATTATTTGAATATTAAAAATACATTATTTCGTATAATGTACATTCAGTACATAACTATTGTACTTTTATTATATTAAAATGTTTTTTTTTTATTGTCCATAAAGCATTATGTGGACCATGGTCCAAATAATAATTTGCTCCTACTTAGCATTATGAAGATTGAATGTATATGCAACTCGATTGGTTAAAGGAGTCAGGAGTGAAGTTTGGGATTTAACTTTTTGGGAACAATAAGATTGAAGGCATCAGCAATAAATATGCTTTTAGTTGATAGCAATTGAGGAATGTCTATTTTTCATATTTTAATTTGATATGTATCAGTCTTCGTTTGAACCAAACTTACATGATTCGAGTGTTTTTGTCTTCTTTGACTGCATGTGCAAGTTGGAGGTATGTATTTTTTTTTTTTAATTTCAATTACCTTGAGGTATAAAATAGAGATGTAATTGAGTGAAGGTATAGGAATGTAAGATAATGGTATGTAACTCTTAAACAAAATTAGACAGAGAATGGAGAGGGAAGATCAGGATCATCTTATTTTTCATCTTCATCATAGTACACTGATTTATTTATCCAAGATACAATGAAGAGATATAATAATAGAGAATAATTACATTCGTTATAGACGTTACAAAGCTACTATTA